CCGGCTATGGTAAGAAATTGTTTACCTACTATATCTTCAGATCTAGGGGATTATTTGTTGGCCCCCTTGAGAAAGACGGAGTCATTGGTGGAGGACAGGGACAGTAGATGCTCCCAGTAAGCAGTTTTCTTCAGTTTTTACAAAGGGGTCCGTTGAGATCCTCCTGCCAGTAGGCGAAATCTGACAAAATCCAGTCTTGTTGATTTGACGGCGGCCGAGGGTGTGGTAAGGGATAGGTTGAAGCAAATCCCGGTTAATAAAGCGACCAGACCTAACCAGATATGTGGTAGAGCTTCGAATGAATGCGCTAGTGCCTTACCATATCCTTTCATGCGAATGTTTATTGATACTTATGCTAACAGCCCATTGAGTTTTTTAGAAGTGCCTGAGGACTGGCGCAATGCCAATGTCTTACCGATATTCAAGGAGAGGACCAAAAAGACTGTCAGCAACTACAGGCCTGCCATTCTTACCTCACTAATGTGTAAGGTCTGAGAGAAATTAATTAGGGCTATCATTCAGTTACACTCAAATAGGCATTAATTGGTAACAAGTAGTCAGCATGGTTTTCCTCCTGCTATGCCCCGCTTGATAAATCTTCTGGAGTTCATGGAGCATGCTACTAGATAGGTAGACAAAGACGAAGTTCAAGTGTCCTTAATCTAGGTTTTGGTAAGGCGTTTGATACGGTGCCACACCAGCGTCTCTTGTATCCGTTAAAATTGCGTGGTATTAAAGGAAACATTCGTGGCTGGGTGACGGCTTGCCTGCAAGACAGGAAACAAAGAATAGTGTTCAATGGTACTTAATCTCAGTGGGAGCTTCTAGAGAATGGGATTTCACTGGGATCAGTGTTGGGACCTTCGCTCATTGTCATTTTTGTGGATAATATTGAGCTAGGATTAGAAAGCAAAGTGCTTAAATTTACTGATGGCATAAAATAAATAGGGGTGTAGAAAAATGCAGACCAGATGAAACTTGACTTAGAGAAATCAGTGAACTGGCCAGGGTCGTTTCTCTGAGGCAGGTGACGCTTAATTATGATACGTGCAACGTCACGCACATTGGTAGTTCTAGCAGTGATCGCATTAGCTATAAAGCGAGAAGCCGAGAGTTGGACCAGATCGGGGACAAAAAGACTTAAGGGATATAATTTCCAGGGATTTAAAGGTTAAAAGCAATGTGGGGCTGATAGGAGCAAGGCGCTTCGGATGCTGGGACTTATAAACAGGGATGTCCATTTCAAGAGTAGAAATGTTGTAAACAAATTGTACTTAGCTTTTGTCAGACCACGCCTAAAATATTGTGTGCAGCCTTGATTCCAAAAATGTATAGATAGGCTGTAGACAGCGCAGCAAGGGGCAATTAGATGATGCGTGGGATTGGCAACTTATAATATAAGGTAAGTCCTAAGGCTTGGATTTGTATCTACCGAAATATCGTAGACTTAGAGAGGATCTGATAGAGGTATTCAAGATAATGAAAAAGATAGATTATTTAGATCTGCAAGGAGCACCAGAACTTAGGCCGAGACTTGGAGGAAACCAGTTTCAATATGCAAAAGGTAGGAGAAGAGCAGCACAGAGGCAGATGTCACTTAGTCAAAGAATAGTGAGTCCCTGGAATGGACTGCTAAACGAAATTGTGAAAAGTCCCTTCATGGCAATATTTAGAACTTGCTTGGACAAGTTCTATAGGTTACGGATCATATGTATAGCTAAATTCAGACAGGTTAGGTGGTGAGATTGGTTTAAGGATGTGTGAGGAACCTGGGTAGGCCAACCTCGGTAGAATCCCTCCGGTAGGTCCGTGTGGCTCTTTGTTTGCCTGATATCTATATGTATACATGTCTATTTGTTTGTTGTGTAATGGGCCACTGTTGATCCGTAAAAGTACTGATATCAAATTGGTGACTTTCTTCTTTGCATGGTGTTTAATTCTGATTTTTGCAGCCTGTTAAGTTTTGTATTCAATATATTATATTACTCTGACTTTTGGGGCGCTGTGCAGATAGAGAACAAGCGAGATCCCTATCAATGCTTGTTTAAAAGACGGCGCTGGAAGTTGGAGCAAGTCGTGCGGCAGCTCTTTGCACTGGTCCGCGAACTTTGCACCCGCGAACAAAAATGTGCCTTTCTCATTTTGTCGGATCGGGGATATACCAACTTATCGGCTGAAGGATCTCTCCTGTCGCTAGCCAGCCAACGAGCGAGAATCTGGCGTTCGAAAGCCGCCGCTCGCTCTCTCCGCGCTCTCTCTCTCGGCTCTACGGCGCTCGGAGACTTCTCTCTAGCCTCTCGACCGCCCCTACTCTTCCCCGTCTCTGCTGGCTCTCTCTCTCTATAGCCGCGGCTCGCTCTCGTCTCTCGAGTCGTTCTCTCTCTCGCTCTCTGCTCTATTCTCTCTCTCGTCTCATCTCTCTCCTCTCTATCTCTTCTCTCTCTAGTCTCTCTCTCTCCTCTCTGCTCTCTATCTCTTCTCTTCTCTGCTCTCTCTCTCCTCGCTTCTCTCTCTCTCTCTCCTCTCTCTCTCTCTCTCTCCCTCTCTCTCCTCCTCTCTCTCTCTCCTCTCTCCTCTCTCGTCTCTCGCTCTCTCTCTCTCTCTCTCTCTCTCTCTCTCTCTCTCCTCTCTCTCTTCTCTCTCGACTCTCTCATCTCTCTGACTCTTCTCTCTCTCTCTCTCTCTCTCTCTCTCTCTCTCTCTCTCTCTCTCTCTCTCTCTCTCTCTATCTCCCTCCTTCACTCTCTCTCCCTCGTTCCTTCCCCTCTCTCCCTCTCTCTTTCTCTCTATCTCTCTCTCTCTCTCTCTGTCTCTCTATCTCCATCTCTTTCTCTCCCTCTCTCTCCCTCTCTCTCGCTCTCTCTCCCTCTCACTCTCTCTCCCTCCTTCCTTCTCCCTCTCTCCCTTTCTCTCTCTATCTCTCTCCCCCTCTCTCTCTGCCTCTCTCTCTCCCCATCTCTTTCTCTCCCTCTCTCTCCCTCTCTCTCCCTCTCTCTCTCTCTCTCGCTCTCTCCTTCAAGCGGCAGAATGTGCGCGTAAACATTCGTGATGTTTTACTACTTTCAGCATCATACCAATTACGAAGAAACGCTCTCCATGCTGACCACATATCCAACCATAGCATGACCTTATACACATTCAAGAACAGTGCTGACCTAAACCACTCACATTATTCGCGCCTTTGAAAAGCCTGCGGCGCGATAGTCCTTAAGAACACTCATTGCCGTCATGTGATCAGCACATAATTTAGCGCCACCATGCAGTATCGAGCGCCGCGCCACCCAGTCGGCCGTCGTCGCCCACTCCAGCCGGCTTGCTCGGAATCGATGGGGTGCCGCCGGCAGCTCTTCCCATGCTCCGTCAACTCTCTGGTTTCCTCTGCGACGCGAGTGACCATTGTGGTCAGCTGCGTCGCATTACCTCACGCCGACCCAGCGCGAGAAGCCGGCAGCGCGCTGCTCGGGCTCCGTGACGTTCCCGTTCCCGTGCTCCAGGAAGGCAGCGGCCTCTCTCGGTGGCCCCTGGCTGACCATGGTGAGAGGACCGGTCCGTTCCGAACTATTTCGCGCTTCGCGAAACACACGTTCGCGCGGGAGCGTCGGAGGATCGACAGAGCCCTAATCGAAACTGATTAGGACTTGCATTTCAAGATAAATTAAAGAAACTGCAAGTGCGCCCATTGGCGCAATGCTGAATATTTTATGTTCCGTAGACCCGAAATGTTGTGGACTGCAATTGATCATTCTTACGGATCAGTTTTGGCTGTGATGAATATGTATACAGGCTTCGTTGGGTAGAGTGGTTGTATTTATAAATGTTGAAACATGTAGGGCCAGGTGACGCAAATAAGGAAATCATATTGGTTACGCGCACCAACGCGAGGGTAAAGTAACTTCGGTAGTACTGGCTACAGACAGTAACGATGTTTGGTAGGCAATGCGAAATGTCTAACTGACTTGGAGAGCCAATATAAAGCGTTCAGAGCTAGGGGAAGAGGGCAGTCATCAATCCCATTCAGCCGCTATTTCGCCACTACCACGCACTACGCTATAACACCGTGTTACTGGTAGCGACTCAAAGTTTGTGGGGGAATTTTCAGTTCCGACGTGCGCTCTTGCGTTATTAGTGACACGGTCTCGATCAAGACCGATTGCGTGTCAAACTTTCATGCAGACTCTGCCACAGGCAGGCCAATCAGAGCTAGCAAATATACACATCGCCCGGTATACCGTGAAATGAGAAAGCCGATTGCATTGGGATCAGAACCAGACCCGGACTTCTTTTTCTACAGAAGATGTTAGTCACATCAACACATAACAAGACCGAGCTTGATCGAGGTCCTCTGGCCAATACTTGTACTGACCCGCCATGTCCAGCTCCTCCTCTGTCCCATGCAGTTCGTTGACGCAGTGACTGTAGAAGTACTGCGCCCAGGCGATACCCACTACTGGGCTCTGGTCCGGGGCATCTAGAAGTTCTGGAACAAAGTAAGACCCTCTTTAGTGGGCTGGCGCCCCGCCATTGACCGATGCATTCTCGACCCATTCCGCTGCTTCATGCATGACCGCCCACTGCTGCCAATTATCCGGAATTCGCATCGCCCGCGTCAGAAAGCCTTTCATGTCATTCAGACGATTCGGCGAAGGGTGCACGTGGCACTCTGACTCAATGGGTCACACGGTAATCGGCGCCCTGCGCATAGTTGCTCTACCTAAGCCCAGCCTCGCCTGACCTGCAGCTGAGACGAGTGGCTCGGGCGACCTGGATTCTACCAGAGCGCTGCTGGACCTACTCAGAATCCTGCGGTCCACCAGGTTGTCTAAGTAGTCGCCGTTGATGGTGTAGCTCTCCGAGGGCTCTAGCAGGCCGAGCACCTTGTTCTCCTCCTGCCAGGCTCCGCAGGCGTAGGCGTGGAAGTTCTGGCAGGGGTCGGCTGCCTCGTCCCGATACTGCAGCAGCTGGGAGGCTACCTCCACGCATGTCTTGGTCACACATAGACCCTGTTGGTGACGTTCGAGGTTCATGCTGGTGTCGGCTGCACTGAGGCAGGGGCGACGCGAGGGAATGCCCCCAAACTCCAGGCCCGACAGCAGTCCATGCGCCGGCTGTACTACTGGCCTTCCCGTGACCAACAGTGCTCCATCGTGCTGCTTTCGTCTTATTTATCGCCCACCTTATCCTATTTGTTTATCCTTAAGCCAGCCATTGCACTTGGGTTAGGCGCCTCCTGATCACCAGCTCTTGAGCCAGCAATCCATCCCATCACGCGGTCCTTTTCCCTTCCTTCCTTCGTCCTCTGCATCCCCCCCCCCCCCCCCACACTCACACACACTTTTCTTAAAGTCCACCTTCCTTTTGCACCACGCTGATCACGACAAGTGGAGTGAAAGCCACGTTGCGTGCGATATTTTTTGTTGAAAAACAAGAGAACGCAACGCACGTTGTCACGATCCTTGTTTTGGAGCACCAGCGGCCGCAATGGCCAAAATAGCTCTCAGGGGTCATAGCGCAACCGGGGCTCGAAACCCAGTTCCTGCGTGGGAGTACGACGCTTTAACTATTCCTTCATTACACCCCCTGCAATATGGCCCTATCCATCGCGCCCCCTGCGACAAGTTACGCCAGGGGAGTACGTTAATAGCATCGGGTGCAAGTTACCAGCCCTGACACCACATTTATGACGTGCATTAGTATGTTCGAGACCGCTTTTGGACAGTTCAGCATTCCAGGTAGACACGTGACTATAGAAACATCGAGAACACGCAATGCTGCTTCACTAACCGCGTGAAATTGCGAGTGCCTACAGCGTGCCTAATTCCGTTTCCAGCGAATTTATTCTTGGATCTGTGCCACCCTCCCCCCTCGTGAAATCTACGTACGTCCCTGCCATATGCTCATGTAAGGCACGGACCAATGCGCGCACTTCCACGGCCGCTAATTTTCCCTCCGTAGCAGCCCGAAAGTTATGAATGGCCTGCTTTCACATGCATATGACAGCAGACCGTTCAGAGCTTATGAGTTCAGCTGCAGCGCTTCCCAGTTGTCATATCGTGAACTATGTTCGGATCAGCACGGCCCACACAGGATGGTCAGTTGCTAAGTCAAAGCCAGTTGCCTTTGAGGTGGGCTCCTGCAAAGTCGGAGGGCATCCAAGTTGCAGCAGAGTGGATCAAATGATCACCACAGGACATATTTTTACAGAGTTTACATGCAATTTACATTGAGTTTGCTTTCATAAGGCATGTCCTTCGGAAGCGCTGTCTCTCTATGCGTTCCTAACGCGAAAAAAACTGTTTGCCGCGCCGTGCTACCATGCTGCGTCGTGGTGGAGCATCGTACCGCCACGGCTGGGTAATAACCCACCCGCTCGCGCCGGCGCCCTTTCAGGAGACCGCCATATCGCCGCAACCCAAAGAGAAGGCTAGGCCCGGGCGCGCCGCTGCCCGCCCAGTTACAGCGGAGGAGGGAGGGGACGGGGGAGGGGGAGGGGAGGTGTGACGTGCGGAGAGTGGACGCCGAGCTTAGTGTCTCGGTTTACCGCTGGCGACGGCGGGCGACGAGGACCGCCGCGTCGCACCGACGCTCCGGTTCGCGCTGCGTCGCCACCGGCAATCATCGACGGCCGCCGGCGCGCCGCCGCTCTGTGACCCGCCATCGACGGCCGCCGGCGCGCCGCCGCTCTGTGACGCGGTGGATTGAGGCGTGACGCCGCCGACGCTGCTGGGCGGTGGCTGCCAGACGCGATGCTAACTCGTGTTTTGTGTTAGCTCTATGATCATAACTGGTCATTGGCCAGGGCGACTAGGCTTACTCGTCATCCTAGCACTGCGAGCATTGCGGCATGTTGAGCTTTCACCCCAAAATTCCGCGGCTGGAACTGAATTTTACGTTCGGGTGGAAGAATCAGTGTTTACCCAACCAGCATTGCTTGGGGTGAGCTTGGGTGCCCCTCCAATGTCTATCAAATAAAACAGGTGTGGTAGTTTTTTTAAATGCGGCTATTTTATCCTGCAAATCCCGGGGAAAACATTGAAAGCAAAACGTTAATCCATGCTGGCCTTATAAAATGCTGTAAGCGTATGATTGCATATAATTTAGATGGTAATTATGGGCCTGGGCTTGGAAATACCCTTGTGATAAATTGTGAAAACTCACCAGCGGCCAACAAATTACGCGATATTTAGCGTTGCCGAACTGGCAAGCTCGCAAACGCATATCAGGCTATGAGAGACGCCGCTACTCTATTGGAGTAGTGACCTACAGCCATGGTACTAAGCGTTGGCTCTGATCTCGCAGACATGATTTGTCCCTGCTGCTTAGTCCATTCTGGGCCTTTCATTACATATCAGTTGCCAGGCTCCCAACAATCGCGAAGGGAATAGCTCCACTTAGTTTGCGAAGTGGTACGCGGATGGAATGGCCTGCCTTTGTTGTGACTTCACTGCGTTGGAAACGGCCGGTCTTCGCTGTTAGTGACGGTGTGCGCCGCGCAATGTTGTTAGCCGACACCTGGAGCTATGCCTTACAACAACGGAAAAACCAGCGTGCAACAGCAATGCTCTATCGTAAGTGATATGGAAACGAGTTTACTTAATGGTCGCGCCCGACGTACCGTGTCCCAACGCTTTTCACGCCCCGCCCTTGTGCCTGCGAGCTATTTGGTCTGGTTGGGTTGGAATATTTCTTTCTGCCAGCAATGACATTTCTATTCAGTGACAAATTTCTCAGATTCAGTTCATGGAAACATTAATTATAGCTTATCCAATCAATTCATTCATTCAATGCCAATGATATTGGGTGAAGGAAAGAAGCGAGTCGTGGGGCGACCTCGCGACCATCCGGGAGTCCTCCGCTACCAAGACTCGCCCCGCACAGCAACACCTATTCAGAGCGCATGAGAACGCTCTGGCGAGACTCCCAGGGCGTCACTTAAGCCGGCTCATGGCTGACGGCCGGAATTCGTCCAGAGAGATGGCGCGTCGTGAGGATTCCGTGGGATGGAGCGTTAAGAGGGGATAGTGGCGCGGCTGCCGCGCGCTGTCAGCCGGCCGCGGAGCGCTCTGGCGCCGTCGGGTAACCGCTGCAGTCTGTTGGCTTTGAAGCGGCGTCTGCAGATTCAGGGATCAATGGAGCGGCAACTGAGAAAATGTGATAGGCAAATGGAAAATTTCCAAGAGCGCCGTAGGGCTCAAAGTCATTGAAAACATCGCAGCGCCGCCCAGGAAGAGTTGAACCGAACCGCGCGAACCGTCCCAGTGAGTGACGGGGCTGAACTCCCAATTATGGTGCGAAACGGTCGGCCGTCAAGACGGCTTCCCAGCGGCCCAAACATTCTGTATCAACTTCATGGCATCGAGAGTGCCCACGGGCGCTGCCATGCGTCAGTAGACAATCGAATAGTCTTGCGGAAGGATTAAGACGAGGCATTAGCCTCACAGATGGAATGGTTGTTCGGCCTATCGTTCTCGGCTGGCGTGCAAGTATGCCATGTTTCGGCCAGCTGATTCCCTTTTTGTCGTCAGGTGTTATTGAGTCTGGATAAAACAAAAACTGGATAGTGTCTGACTATCAGCCATGCGTGTGCCACCACCCAACTACTCTTCCTGGAATTGCTGATGTTTGAAACGGGGTCTTCTGATTGCGAGTCCAGCGCTCTCTCAACTGATCATATCGGAAACGACCTACCGGGCACGGACTGCCGATTAGCTCTGTTGGGAGAGTGCTGTATTCTCAATCAGAGGACCTCGGTTCGAATCCCAGCAATACCAAGAAGGGGCGTGGGGCTACGCACATATGGCTGAAAGCCAAATATCGCCCAGTCCTCCTCACGGCTCAGTAACAGCCGACGACGCCCGGAAAATTGACTGGTCGAAACGTTGCAAACATACGAACACATTAAACGGGGACAATACCCTAAAGAACTGTTCCACCTTATGACATTGCCTCCACACTACAGCAGAGCGGAGGCGGTGCAGGACGGTACACGCGGGCCAGAGATAGGTTCTCTTAACCACCTTGCGGAGCCGCCTTTTTGTACTGTGGCCCTGTACCTTGACGATTATTTGTAAATAGGATGACTAAAAACAGCCTCAAAGTGTCAGAAAATGATCCAGGCCAGTTCGAAAACTACAGGACAAAAAGCATGGGAGTTTTTGTGTGTCGTTAAGCGCCGTAGTGCGGCAGTGCCAGCAGGCGTCTGGTGGCTGTGTGACGTCACAGGCCGTGGGCGTGTTTCAGCGTCATCATGCATTTCGGTGCACAAACCTCCCGAGCTAAACGCCACACCAGGTTTTAATAACATATTTGTAATTTCGTCTGTAAGCGTGTGGCATGAAGATCAATATAAAACATCGGTTGCTGCACTACGTTGCCTCAAACGTCGGGTCAGTGCCTACAGGTATGCAGTAGGACATGTGATATAAACAGCTGGATAAGTTGGAATATGATAAGAGACAAGTTTGAATCATGAATAAAGTCAGATAAAAGAAATAGTAATGGTTTTGGTATGTTTATGTTTAATATAATGTAAGGTAATGTAAAGTAATGGTTAAATGGTAATTGTGCTGAATAGCCTAGCACGAGCTTCATCAGATGAGCACTAGAGGACATTGACAAATGTGACCTGTGGTACGTCGCATCAATGTAAAGAGGTGAAGGCGATTTTTGCGTTGACCTGTCCGGTTAATCTTTACATTGAGAAGCCACATCGACGGAAGGACGAAAGGTACTCCAAAATCGCAAGGTACTCGTTAGAAAGGCACTCCAAAATCGCAAGGTACATGCCCGTAAGTTTTAAATGTTATAGCGTTCAAACGGTGAAATACGTTCTCGAATGTGAAGTTCAACCTACATCGACCTTAAATGATCTAACCTTTCAAAAGCCATTGAAGCGATTTTAATAAAGTTCAGAGTGATGCAGACGAGACGGGCGTCAATAAAATCTTTTTAGCGCATTCCTGCGAGAAATAAACGCTATTTGCCACTTCAGAACAAAAGGCCA